CTACCCTGTTTGTGCCTTGGGCAGGCCTTTCTGACAAGCATCGGTGGTCAGTGCCAACGTGACGCCACAGCTGCCCAACAAAAAGCCAATCTGTTGACTCCCTGCATCCTGGACAACCAAAGAGGATGGGGGGGAAAAAAAATCAAGTCATACCATGGTCAACTATTAAGAACAATAATATTCAGAACATAAAAGCTGTGAGAAATGTTTCACTAAGGGAATGTGGGAATTGTAACAGGGAGAAAAAGACTGATGAGTAATGAAAGAAACTTCGGGGCATCCTACATCAAAGCAACAGCATGTAAGCAAGTTGAATGACAGCCAGTCACTATTAAAAACTGTACTGCTGAGCATCAAAGCCTGATTATAACAGGAGTGAAACCCAAGATCTGACAAACACTTGCTAATATTTGACTGTCTTACAGCTAAACTCATTCTGAGTAAAGTGTGCTGTGCAGTGAGATACTGGAAGGGGGTATGGGAGGAAAAAAGATGGGGGTGATGAAAAGTGAGACAGAAGAGACAGAGAAGGATACGGGGAGGACATAAATAAATAAAGAAAGGGAATGAATGAGAAAAAAACGGAGTTGGCAGAGTAAGTGAACATTTCTGGCTCCTGAGAACACTTGGCCTGCGATCTAATATTTTGCCTGGAATTACACATCGTCTCACCTTGCTCAAATCTCATTAATTACAGTACAGACTCTGCCAACAGCATGCTCATACAGAGCAATCCAGAACAGGCATCAATACAGGCATCTCCCTGTGTAACCATGATATACTTAGTTCAGTCTGAGCTGACAATTGTCTTGAGAACTTCAATCCATTTTAACACTTGAATCCATTCAATCCATTTTAGAACATTTGAAAGATGTTGATACCGCCACAGCTGTAATCATGTACCACATGTGGTATAAACAGAGATTCGGGAATATCAGAATAAATCCAATACCCACTGGAACAAGATGACTGTCAGACTGTACACATCTTGTGTACTGTTCAATCATTTAGGGGCTCATGTCCAGCAGGTGTCACCACTGCTCTTCAGTGATTGTGCAGCACAAAAAAATATCAAACGTTTCCCAGGGGACTGGTATTTTGTTTTTACCTTTCTGGTCAGTGGCACTTCAATAGGCACAGGCACTAGCTCCGCCAGGAGACAGCCATAGAAGGCCACCATGAACATCACTGGATCGTTATTCGGGAACACAAGTGCAACCTACAGGTGTATGACGGACAGGATGTTATGAGACAATATGATATGTTATGCACTTCCTGTTTTAAGTAAAGATATGGTGAAGCAAGCATCATGGACAGAACCTGAAACCAATCATTTGCTTCACTTCACAAGTAATTAGATAATGTCAGTGTATTTGTAAAAATTGAACAAAAACATGAGAAAATAGAAAACAGACCACTAAATGCAGCCTTCTGCAGAAATATGTCAAGGACATACCAACGAGGTATGATCAACTTTTCTTCTTCTGCTATCCTATTTCATTTTCAGCACTATTTTATGTTCAGAGTCTTGTATAGCTCAAGACTTTGTATAACCTGCTGGTTATTGCCGGTAAATGGCTGTTGAGAAATTTGAGCTTATTCTACTGTTGCACTTATTGGATATCATTTTAGGAGCATCAGCCAAATGTCTGAAGTGCAACAAGGAGTGTAACATGCAACTGATCAACACTGACCACAGGTTGATCTCATGACTTACTCTGTCTCCAGGCAGGAGCAAAGGCTCATTTCTGCTGCTCAGCTTGTTAAGAAGAGTGTAGGCCAGTTTCTGACTGCGGGTCCACAGTTTGCCTATAGAGGTGAGCACACACTGTCAAATATTTCCTTGGATTTAAAAACTCCTTATCCACAAATCCACCTTCAAATACACAAAACAGCTTAGTCTGACAGATGACAAAAGTATGTACAGACATAACTTCCTTGTCCATTATTTATACATGAAAAATGTTATTTTGTTGTTTTCTGTCTCCATCCACAGGTACCTACCATAGGTGAGTGTGTAGACCGGCTTGCCAGCATTGTCAAGTGCCGTCAGACAGGGACTCTTGGGCTGAGTTGTACCCCACCGCTGTAAGGCTGCTGACAAGGATCGAGACCAGTTGGTGACCACCCCAAGAGGCTCTCCTTCCAAGGGACTCATCTGTTGGCCTTCTGGCTTTGGTTGGTTGGGATCTGGTTGCTGGACTAAACACACAGGGGGAAAAGAACAGAGCATCAGTGGAAGGGTGAATCCAGTGAACATTCTGTGCAACAAAGCAGAGTTATCTTCTTGTGCCGGGGTGCTGTCCGTGCAATTTGAGAGACTGATTTACATAGAGATGGTAAACTTGAAAGGAAGACAAAGTAACACATGGAACTGAAAGACACTGAGATGGGAGTGAGTGATGAGGAAAAGCTGGAGGATTAAAGGATGCACTGTGTCACAGGTTTAATCTCTTTCTTCAAACGCCTATTTCTCCATTGCTAGTATTCCCTCATGCCTTCCCAAACTCTGTTAGATGAGCTGGCAAGATGAAGTCCCACCAAAAAACCCCCCACCTCTATCAGGAACAGACAGTGTTAGTGTGTTAGGTCTACTCCCATTTCAGCTGTGTGTGTGTGTGTTTGTGTTTCTGCAAACCACTGAGGCTTGCCATACCACAACCTCTGTGCCAGAGTCAGAGAGGCTTTACAATTACCTGCTGCTTTTTCATTTGCACAGTGTTTATTCAGCCTGGCAGAGTACCACCCAAAATCCACTATGGGCTGGCTGGAATGGAAGAAATGCTTAAACAGGACTGGTCAACTTTGTATTTCTAGTGGTCTCAGCTCCAACACAAGACAAAACAACAACAAGTGATTTAAAAGTGCACCTTGACTGTTTATTCGGGAGGTGTGGTCAAGTCAGTGTGACCATTGTTATCTCAGCTGCAGTAAGAATTCGATAACCATTACTCTACTGAAACTGGAAATCTCCTTTGAGAGTTACAAAAATTCCTGTCAGCTGATACGCCTGTCATACTCAACAAAACAGCGGTGTTTGTGTCAAACTCAGCATTTAATTGCTGAAGGCTCTGATCAGCATGATTTTTCCGGACTTATTTAATGACTTTCAGGCCAGCTTACCATCCAGAAGCTCCTCAAAGTCATCAACAAAGAACTCGCACAATGGCGGTCGCTTTGGTCTCTTCAGAGTGTTGAGAAGCTGCTGGATTTTGGAGGAGACACGACTGTTGACTGGAACACCTACACAATGAGAATGGAGGGGATGTAAAAACACGGCACGTCAAAAGATATGGAATGAAATACAAAAAAAAGGAATGACATGGGGCAGCGACAGTAGAGAAAGACATTTACATAGATTGAGAGATTGATGAGACAAGGAGGAGAAATGGATGAGGGGAGGACAGATAAAAATAGCAAAGAGAAAAGATCAGCGTCGCATTCTAATGAGACAGAGGACAACCACGTGTCAGTCATACTGAGGCAAGACAATAAGACAGTGGACGAGGAGGTCCTCTACAGTCACCTGGGGGTCAAAAGTTAGTCTTTCAGTCAGGATGCTCTTGAAATACTGAAACCTCAAAGGCCAAATAAAGCAGAGAACATGAAGCAGCCTCGCCTGCTGCCTAGCAACAAAGATGTCCTCCCTGCACTGATTCATGAGATGCCTGAAAAGGTGTCTGCTTTACTTGTGCTCTACTAAACTCATAATGATGAGGCTAAAATCATCCACACCACAATCAAGTCAAATATATGAATCTCCTCTGACATATACTGTATGTTAAACTTGATCTTTAGTAAACTTTTTATATTGCTGTGCACAAGAACGCTGAACCAGAAAACACTCAAAAGGCAAAATTACAGAGTCAGGGATCTTTGTAAAGACATAAGCTGAAAGACAGCAAAGGAGAGAAAATACAAGAAACAACAGAGAAAGAGAGGTGGTGTCCAGTTAGATTTCTCTCCATGTCGAATATGAACATGTGCGGACTATAATCATCACAGGACATTATTTCCTCCATATGATTTCACACTTAGTTCAGGCAGAGGGAGTAGTTTGTGTCAAACATTCCAGACAGCCACAGGAGACGAAGGCCACAGCTGCACTCAGCTTGCCTGATCTATCTTACTATAATAAGCCTGGCTAAGACAGACTCTGCCTCCTCATGTAGGAGACAGATGTACTGGGAGCAGACATGTGGGGGTCAGCACGGCACCTAAAGGGCCAATTAGAAAGCCCCAGACACACAGGACAACATCTGAGGGCCCTGAGCCCCACCCATTCAAGAGCTCTGAGATCACTGAGCTTTTTTTTTTTAATGCATATGCAGTAATGAGAACTGCAAAAGGCAACAACTTAGCAACAATGGAGATAAAGCTGTCAGTCCAAAACCAGATTACAAATATACAATTTCATTTTAGAAATTAGCAATGCGCTGTTAGCAAACCTTACTACTTACTGGGGACTATTTTCAGCAGCAGAGCAGTGTATGTGGGACTGACCCAAAATGAAGTACAGTGCTCATGTTCAGTATAATGAAGGAACATGCTAGCTAGTGCAACAGTGAGACTCTTTATTTTAAATGGTTTTTGGGCAACAAAGAAGTTGGCACAGAGCCATAAGTACTATTGGGCTTTGAATACACAATTAGGACTTGTTAGCAGGATTAACCCAGTGTTGGTTTTCATCTTTTCATAGGATGCGAAGAAGGAATAACATATCCTTGGGTAGCAAAGGCAAAGGGTTACATGCGCCATCAGAAATCAACGCATGCTGCAGAATCTGCATCCAACTACAGATGAGGTCACTGTGTGGGATGTTTTCTACACCCAACTACTAAAAGAACAGCAGTGCTAGACAGCTGCCATCAAATAACTCACCATGTGCCTACAGGCTAACAGGCTGGTGTCGCAGAATCTAGTGGGAAATAAAACCTGACAAGTCATCAGTACGAGAAAGGGAACCAGTATGTCAACATGCTAAGTATTCACAAGAACGAACGAAAAGACTCTTTTACACATCTGCCTCGACGCGATCAAGCTGAAGAGCATTTAGTTTAGACACTGCTAAAATGCTATAAATCCTAAAACCTTTGCAAAGCTTTCAGCTACACACACACACAGAGGATTCGCTGTGGCTTTGCATATATTTTTGAAAAAACACACAAGGTTTGGACAAGTGCTAGAGCTGACAGTATAGGCGAAGGCACAAACACACAAATGCACATGCAGCAGAGTGCACATATAGCAGACTGAGTTGGAGGAACAATTGTAAATACCATCCATTAAACTGAGCAATCCTTCACCTCTCCACTCACAGCCTGGAGGAGAGACATATCAGGATGTCAATGACAAACACATGAGACATCTACCAGCAGCTAAATGCAGGTGAGAGGGGGCTTATGAAGAGTACCTCAACACCAAAAATAGGATTGGTGTCATTTTTTTAATAACCTATGTGGGAAGACTAGCATAGGAGGTTTGAAACTTCCTGAATGCCACACAGTAAAATAGACAGGGTAAAAACAACACTGTTTGCATCAAAAACAATTTCTCCTTATGGGTCAGCCAGGTGGGCTGGTTTAGCATTTATTAGCAGTGAAAACCCAGATGAATCCAAACACATAGATGCTCAAACTTACAGAGGATAAGAAGTGTATGAACATCTGTCATAAAAATAATTCATATAGATAAAAAAAAGAACAGAAAAAAGTAGAAGTTAAACTGATATTTTATGCACTGTATTGACACCATGCTCTTGGTTTAAATTCAACATGTTACCATCTGTACACTTCACAGCATCTATTGTTAATATCTATGGTGACTGATCTGGAAACTGCTGAAGAATGATGTTTGGAAGCTGTTAATGTTATTGACTGACTCACTAAAAACATGCCAAGAACACCATCTGTAATAATCCAGTTTATGACCCATTACTCAAATAACTTTCCTTTCTTTAAGACTGAAGCCAACATTGTTCATGTCTAAATCATTATCCACATATTTTTATTTGATAATGACCTAAAACTTCAAGATAAAAACATAGTGGGCTTTTTGGTGGTGGTAGTGGTGGTGGGGGGGTTGCACTGTTGCCATAGCAACACAAGAGGGTCACTCGCCAGTCGGAATGAAACAGAGGAACAGACAGCAGGTGAGAAAGGGAAAGGAAGTTGACTGTGTATGTGTGTGTGCAAGTAAGAAACTCACCATCTGCGGTCTCCATGATGCTGATCTGGTTGTAGCCACGAGAAACACCTCGTACTGAGGCCACCTGGGGCCGCTCCATGTGAAACGAGGTGCGTTCCGACAGCCCTGTCACATCAGGGGGTGCTGAGTGGTTATCTGTGATGAGTGGGGTGTCGGGGATTAAAAGGTCAAACGCCAGGCTACTTTAGGCTGCCACAACGAAATGAAATTCTAAGTTAGCAAGCAAACTGATGGGACAGCCTAGAAATTTGACTGAGAGGCTAGGAGCCCTTTTGTTGTCTGTATGTGGAATGGCTTTCACTGCAGGAGAGAATTTAACAAGGAGGTCATGTTTTTACCTCCATTTTAAGTACCTGCCAGATTGAGGTATGAATGTTTCTATTTAGCAGATACATTCCCCTCAGTGAGTACTGTACCCACAGAGCACAAGATGTCTGTCTAATATGAATAACAGCCAAGTCTGAGGACACTGCGATGGCCTCCTTTTGTATGCCCTTTGTGTGCTCAACTCTAAAATAGATGTCCCACAGTAAAGTTACACAGATCAGCTAATAACACAATGCCAAGACTTCCTTAATCCAGATCAATAACCCTAATAGGAAACGCCAACTGCTACCAATGCTCCTCGTCACCTCTTTACTCCTCATATTGACAACTCCACCTCAATCTAAATGACAATTTTCAACTCAGTCAACTGAGCCATGTGTAAGCTTTTCTGTGCATGACTGAACTGCCACACAGTTCAGTAGCAACTAAAAGTCCTACTACCTCTGAATCTTTGTGATTTGGGCACTGTGTTAAACTGTTTAAATGGGTTATATCCCCCCAACCAGATCTTTCTATATGGATGTAAACCTTTCAAGTTGGATGTGCTGAAGCACAGAGCTTGAAGGACAAAACTTAACCATCCAAATATATACAGTCTGGATATGATATGTACACAGGACAAATGTATGATTTCAAATCCAAAGGTCATGTTTGGTCGTGACCATCCACATTACTCTAAATATTCTCCATGTATGATGGTCTACCAGTCATTTTCTATTGCTGAAGAGAATGACTCACAGAATCAGAGTTTGAAGGGCCAAGGAAGAGGGTGTTATGGGAGATTTATTTACAGCTCCATTCAGCAGTGCTCACTGCTGCTACTTTATGACAGCAACCTTGAGGGGAGATGTGCTGGACAGCAATCAGACAGCTCCATCCTAATAAGATATCGTTCCACCAGCAACGCATACAGACACACACATACGCGAGCAAGACACTTTGCTGCTGCTGACAGACGGATGGAGGTAAATGTACTGGATCTCATTAACCAGCTTGTGACACTCACATGACAACATGCGACAAGTAGCTTTGACAGGGAAGTGGCTGAGAGCCCCTTTACTTGACTGAACGACAGTGAGATAGCAGACGGAGACGATTAATTAGAAAGATGTGAATTAAAGTTCTGTCTCTTGTTCCCTTTGTCTTGCCTCATCAAGTGCGTTTGTGTAACTGAAGGGAGATAAGGCCTCCGCTGCAACAAATGTGCAGGGCACCGCTGCCTGACAGCGATTAAGCTACAGTTACACAAAAACAGTCTGAGCGACACAATAACTGTTTTAGATGTTATGTTTGGATTGACAATAATAATAACAACTGGGTAGCACCAAACCTCTGCTGAAATCAGTAAATGTGAAACAATGGAAAAAGTCTAAAAATCTGTCTGCTTCTGATTTAAAAATATACTTAGAAGAATTTTAAATCATACATTTAAGCAGAATGTTTGCTGAAGGTTTAACTGTATTTGAGTATAAATCCCACTGTGGTTACTCTTCCACCAGTACACCTGAATAGCGAGAATACTACAGTGCATGCAGGAAATCATTTCTAAACAGTAGATAGTGTTTTCTTGCATGGAATGAACACATTATGTCATTGTGGTTCCGAAATACCTTCTTACTTTAGCTCACAACCACATGAGACATTTTTGACACACTTCTCAAATAGCAGGAGGAGGGGAAAAAACGTTGAGCAAAATGTATTTATCTCTGAGCTAAGTAGAGGTGAGTGGTTGCATTATTTTAAAAACAAATGCAAAGACCATACAGGCAGGCCAACTGAAATGTGATGGAGTGTGAGACTGACCTAGCTGGGTGTGTGCCATAAGGTCGACCAGTGCGGTAGCTGAGGCGTTGGCGTTGAGGGCTGTGTGGGCAGTGGTGTTGGTGGTGGTGACAGATCTCCCTCCGGGGTGGGATGAGGTGGATGATGCGGAGGATGAGGTGGACGAACCTTGGATGACACGATTAAACCAATGCTCAACAGCTGGGTGGCCGTGGCCCTGGTAGGGTGTGGAGGTGGCCAGGCGTCCCTGGCGGCGCAGCGAGCCCTCGTCTTCTGACGCTGAGGAAGTGTCTGTGTTTGACAGGTCAAGACAAGTATGCATCACAATAGTGTACAAGAACATGGGGCTGTTTTAAGTGTCACCGGGGCAAAAGAAAAAAACAAGATGGGAAAATTTGGAAATAAAACACTGGATTTAGGTAATATGCTGATGATGCAATGTTCTACTTATAGATACTGGACAAAGTACATATAAGTCGGTGGGATGGCCAGATGATTTCAATGAGAGATGGAAGCTGAGAAGCTGATGGATGCTTGTTTTTAAACGTGCTATGGCTTCACAGGTATGTCTTCTGTATTTGACTGCCTGTAAACACATTTCAATTATTTGTGTACTATATACAGTACAAATGATAAGGTGTAATACACTTTGGCAAAAGACAAAGGAGAGAGTTTCATATTTGTAGACATGAGGAGTGAGAACAAATTAAGTGGTGTGAGAAAACAAGAGGTTGGAGGTTGTATTTTTTACAGACCTCAAGTAGACAGGAAACTTGCAGTAATATAACAAACAACAGCAACGTTTGAGTAAATAGGCTATTTAATATATGAGACAGATTGTACAGTGCTATAGACTCATTTGGCAATTTAACAGGCATATCTACCCAAAACTAATGAAGCCTAATGCTCAAGTCCTGCAACAAACCCTTCCTTCATAAAGGCAATAATGTTCAGTTTTTGCTGAAACTGTTAAGAGTTATTGATTCAACTGCATGGTCATTTTGGAAGAAGTCGCTTGTACTGATATTTAACTATCCTGCATTATAAAAAAAGATGCTTCTATTATTTTGACCACCCTATTTATATCAGTGACGCTTGGTTAAATAACAAACACCTAGACTGTATTAGTTTTAGCTAAGTGTTCCTAACTGCCACCTGAGTTTATGTGTACAGTTGGTATTGCTAAAAATCTACACCACTATAAGAACTTATAACTCTTAGGTTTAGTATGTTGAATTACAGTCCTGAAAAATATGTATGTTCTAGGACCAAAAATAAGTGAGTTTTCTTTTTAGTGTGTCCGTGGACTCGTACATTACCTAATTGATGGTATTTGTGCTTTACGGTGTTGCTTCAAATAAAGATTGCAAAAATGCATACATAAACTACTTGCATACAGTTTAGCCAGAAACCTAACTATCCAGTGTTGTAAAGGAAAGCTTTACTAAGAGTTGTGTAGGTATGCTCAAGTTTATATGACTTGGACAAAACCCCAGTCTCGCTTGAAGCTAATGTGAGCAATTGGTCTCAGCAAAAATGACCCAAAACAGGACCAACATCAAAGTAAAGTAAGGATCTTTAAAATGAGCACATTCTACATCTATTACACTCCCAGAAACGTCTGTTCTTTCAATAGGATGACTGAAGCTACAAAAGAGCAGGCCAGTCTCTTGCATTTGGCAGAGAACGGAAAGGTCTCATTGGACTTACGCATCAGCCACTTGAGTTAATAAAATACTCAGATTATAAACAAAAACCTTTTTCAGAATTACCTAGCAAGGCCACACTGGTGCCCATTATTCATCATTAATGTAACAATAGTAGCTTCTCCTTTCCCCCTGAGAAAGGTACAAAGCTCATTCACGTCGCAAAATATAACACTATCTGTCTGAGCATATTGTTCAAAACAAAACTTTAATCATGTGGAAAACTGATCCCAAGTCCAGTGAGAGGAGGAGAGACATTCAGGACCCAGAGATTAAGCCTTTGTGTGTGATCAGCAGATGTCTGATGTTCTCTAAACTAATGAGCCTTTGTGATTAATCTGCCTAGTAATCGCTCACAATATGTAGTTACAAGTAAAGTCCATTAACTGAGAAACTATTAAAATCACCGTTACATTCCTCAAGCTTCCCCGCAGCCTTGAGGCTGTCAGAGAAAGGCTGGAGTAGGTTTGATTATAACAAGCTAAAATTTAATGTCTCCACAGCCAACCGACTCATGGGGCTTATCTCGCATTTATGATTCTGTTTTTTATTCCCTTCTTCTCTAAAACCTCTCTCAGTAACCTTGACACAGTTACGTAGAGGAACAGGAAAAGAGAGGGTCAGAGAACAAATGCAAAGTAGAAGTAGAGAGGTGGAAAGGACTGGAAAGAAAGAGAGCAATTAGTCACAGATATACAGGCAAAAGAAGAATAATGTGAAGAGTGAGTCAGAGAAAGACAGGCAGCGGTGGATATTTGGAGGCAGAGAGGGACATAAAAGAAAGACTGAAGCAGATATGGTGATTTCTCAGTTATTCTTGTGCCTTATTGCATTCAAGCAAACAAAGACAGGTCTATCAATAAAGCCCAGCAGTTTAAAACCCGGAATCCTATTGGCGGAAGTGGCTGGTGTGACTCTACGATGAACATATGGATACTGGAGCATCCAGACTCAGTCCATCCAATTATAAATCACTTTGTGGATTACAAAGTTGTTCTATTAAACTGAAACAAGACAGACACTGTACTTAAATGCTCACATTGTCAGTCTTAAACTAATGTTAATTTTAATGTCACACATGGTGAGCAGTGTTTTGGCATGTTTTCTGTGTTCCTAATTACTTTTGCTTTGTGTACTGTATATTGTAATTGTTGGTTTACATACTGGCTATATTTCTGGTTGACTGAGGCATCTACAGTCCAACTATGCCACATATTACTGAATGAAGTTTGTATATAAATTAGATTTTATTCTCATTACTACTAGTTCTTCACAATTAGACGTGGTCAGACACATAGTGTGACTGGATATAGGCCAGTAAATGCATATAATAATATATGCAAGAAGCAAAAAAGAGAACTTGATCCATGCAAATGTGTGTTAGCTTTAGATAACAATATTGTAACCTGCTCACCCAAAAAAAAAAAAAACTCTACTTGCGCCATTAGTGGCTAAAAACTCCACAGAGGACCTTTAATGATGAACACTGCCCCACAAAAAAAAAAAAAAAAAAAGAAAATACTCTACTTGCGCCATTAGTGGCTAAAAACTCTACAGAGGACCTTTAATGATAATGCTAATGTAATCTTATGACATCTGCAAATATCAGACATAATGTTTAAATGGCTAAAATAATCATTGCCACTGCGTGAGCACCAACACCTGTAGCAACCATTATATATATGCAGAATATGATTTTGTGGAGCAATCACATCCTGTTTAAACCACAATGTATAAGCTTTTACTCCTGTTACTTACTCCACCTCTGTGTCCTCTCTTTACCTAAGACGCAAGGCTCTAAGGTCCACCACAATTAACTCTTATACAATAACAGCAGAATCACTGCAGTGTTTAAGAGACTGGCAAGTTTTCTGTTACTGACTTACTACTTTCTTTGGGAAAGATGTGGGCACAACTGACAACAGAAATGGGTCTTTTGGGCTTTGGAAATCCCACTGGAAGAAGCTGCAGAATGCAGTAAAATGCTATAAATTCAAACAAAATGACCCACACAACACAGACTGTTATAAAAGCAGGCGAAAGGTGACATTTTCAGTCTATGTCAAAAATCTGATTATGCAATGCATGTGGGAAGGTCTGTCTGGGAACGTGACGGTGAGAACTGAGTCCTTTATAGTAACCATGAACAGACATATTCATGAAAGTGCACAATTCTTTCCAGTAGCAAATGCTTGGCAACATCATTTTCAATAACTGGACACAACAACATCCCACACTCCAGTGCTCATGGAAACATGTAAACAATCTGGTGTCAACACAAGCACAGTGGACAATAGACGGCCTCACCTGGCGGAGTGCATGCCTCGACAGAAGACTGAACTAGTACAGATCGTCTCTTGGAGGGCATGGGCATCTTCCTCTCTTTGTACTTGGCCAAAGCTGCCTGGACGGCCTTTGTGTGCAGATCTAAGAGACCACATCAATACAGTTTAGCCCCAGCATAACAGAGAGCACCAGGCATTTCAAACTTTTTGGCAGTATAAACACATGATTACCAGATCTGAAGCGTTCATCTCGTGCATTGGCAGCCCGGGACCTGTTGGGTTTGGAAGCTGGAAGAATAGCTTGGGAGGAGGCCTGGATCCTGTTGTCAATTTGCAGAGATGGATCTACACCTGCATAGACACGTTCAAAGCAGAGAAAGGATGGTGGATAACAGGAGAGAAATAAAAAGCATACTTCCCTCTACTGCTCTAAAGCACATCAGTATCAGAAATATGAGCACATACAATCTCTGCAGAATGTGTAGGATATAGAGCAACGCTGCTGAACATTGCTCCACCAGATCAAGTATCCAGAAGATTAATGGTAATCCCTACTTAAACTGCTTTCTTCTAATACAGCAGCTTGGAGTTGAGAAAGTATTCACTTTAATTAACCCAGCCTGTATTGCAGCTTCTCAGTTGCCTTCAAGCTTTGCAAGGGAAGAATATGCAAATTACAGACATAACAGAAAGGAGGTGATTAAGCACCATGAATTTCAGTAAGACAACATCCTCTAACTGGAGCGTTCTAAAATTATCAAACTCTCATACTCGTCACCCTCCCTGTGCCCTGTGTGATGCAAGCAGTGATTCATCCTTTTGCTTATGCAGTTCTCATTTAAGCTTCAATAAGGAACTATTGGTTATTATCAGAGGGGAAACCCAGTACTACTGTCTGAAGAAAGGTCATAGTACAAACTCTAGTAGAAGAAATGTATCTGCCCCAACCTGCCTGTGTTTCTATATTGAGCAATCAAAGGCCTTATTTTAGGCAAGCTGAAAGGACAACATCAGACACACTAACAGGAAGCTGCCAAAGAGAACAGCATCTGTCTTACACTGCAACTCCAGGCCTCGAGACACAGTAGGCAAATGGGCTAGTCAACCACCAGGAGTCAATGACAAAGACACTGACCTTCACCAGAACAAGTGGCCTAAATATGAATGAAGCTTTATCTACCATTAGGCTAAAAAGTGTTTATGAGCAAACTGTTGACAGTTTTGAGGTTTTGCTTGGGTATTAACTTTTACTAACCTGTGCCCAAATGAACCACATGTACTAGTACAGCCATTAGACAGACCTTTGAGGACACAGTTTCACCAAGGCCACATTCAGGCAACACACTGCCAGTCACACACTCGACCAGGAGGTGTTGAGGGAAAAAAAAAAAAATCTTCCTCCTTGTACTAAAATGAACAACCTTTGGTGAGTGTGAAATAAAGAGATTTGGAACAGATCTCTCTTTTGTGTTATTTATTTCTTGGAATAAAGGAGCAGTCTACAACAGCATTCAGAGTGATCTGTTACAGAGGCTCCAAGAGCAACCAGCCAGAGGTCTGCCTGGCTTTTCAACAAGCAGCTTGGGGATCACGGGGGGGCCACACTGTCAGCAACTCTCAGACAGCAGCAGCACACACACTCCAATGCTGAGCAACATTCACACACTTCAACTATATCTATTTAATACTACAAACTTTAAGTATTACACAAGGTTCAATATGGCCTGAGGTCTTTATACGGACACATAATGCATGGAGTCTGACACACACACACACACACACACACACACACCGATCGCATCCCCTGAGCATGGACAAGGACATCAATATATGCCAGTCCCTTATATCGCTCTGCCAGTCCTGTCAAACATCAACCTTTCCCCAACTCCCAGAGGATAAAGGTCTATAAAACAAGCCAGAAAGCCAGACCCGGTTACTGGGCAGAAACACTTCTGAGACGCACAACACAATGAGCCAATCAGAGGTGCGCTCCATCACAGCAGATGTTATTGGCTCACAGTGAACCCTAATGAATTTTTAGTACCTGTCTGATGCCAACGCTTAGGCTACCGGTGACAAGACATGCTGCGTTTCACTACTACAGAGCAAATATGCTTGTCTAATAAGTTGCAACAAGTGCGCAGTTGAATATTTGAAACATAAACTAATAATCTTGGCTTGTTTGAGATTCTACACCAAATATATCTAATATTAACAAATGAAAGGCAAACTCATTTTAAAAGAGCTGGGGCTGCATTCACAGTCAGAAAATAAAAATCAAGTCTAAAAGACAGGATCGGATTGAGCGCACGACATACCTGTATTTTCAAACAGGTAACACAGATTTCTCAACAGATCTTAATTTGATGCTGATTAATCTATATTACTATGTCTGAAAAGTGATTAAAGCTCATGATGGCGCCCAAACACTAAAATGTAAAGAGGAAATTAATCTCCTTGGTCATAAATCCTAATAATGTGGCCTTGTACACCAACCTTATTGAAATTGGCACAAGTACAGACATATAACAACAGTAAAATATAAGGCAGTAAAACAGTTTATGAAATTCTGTATGTAGCTCAGAAGCCTATAGTCTATGGGACTCTTATTTCAACCATGTAGCTGTTAAACTCTAACCCACTGATTCATCATGCAGGATGCATGTGTTCTAAATAAAAAAATCTCACACACTCCAAAGCATGTCCATTTCTGCTCCATGTTACGCTTAAGTGTTTGGATCCAGACTAAATAAATCAAACAATGAATGACAAAAAGAAAACGCATAAATCCATAATAACAAGAGTGAGAGGGAGCAAAAGAGAGAATGAAGGCAATGATTCGCCCAAGCTAAATAATAGGCCTGCTAACTCCAGAGGAAAGCCTTGAGCGAGCGGCCCACACCAGAGTCTGGTTTCCACTCAGGCCTGATATTCTGACACCAGGCCAAACCAAAGACTGCCATGGACCCTGGATGGTGGACAGAGTAGAAAGAAGTACTGACTCTTCTCTGGCATTCGCCACAAACCATCTCAACCTCAGAGTCTGCTCAAAGTGGCTAGCGCTGACTGACCGTATGATTGAGGCTAAAAATACACTGAATTGATATATAAATGCATGTTGGTGCCTACGCAGTCAAAGGCCATAGACGGATAATAAGCAGGAACAAGTACATACAGCTGAATCACATCAAGCCTGCCTGTGCTTTAAACTAGATACACTCTTCTCAAACACCCACAACCTAAATAAAATTAAAAAGAAAACATAATATCCCTCAAACTAATTTCCATTATCTAAGACAAGTTAACTAAAAAGCAAAATCACTTTGTATCAAAAAAATGTGTAATTGCATTATGAGAGCAGCATAAAAAATAAAAAAAACTCAAACTATCTATTTGGCTTGGCAGGTTGTGCTTTAGCTGTCTGGTGTGTGAAGCATCCTGCATGACAACTTTATAGCCATGTGATATTTAATCTATAGTGTTTTTAACATCACTGAATAGACAGTTTACTCCCATTAAAATATACATATTCTGCAGGCAAATTCTGAATTTGGTTTATACTTTGTTTAGTTGTTTTTTTTTTCCTGTTGATTTTTTCTCCCCTCTGCCTTCGAATGATGATCTCTGCTTCCTTGTATTGTCAAACTGTAATATCTTACAAAGTAAAATGTACTCTATGCAAATATATCTACAACTGAACAAACACATGATGACATTTTCTTATCTTTGATCATGCAAGGACAGTATCCTAACTGTGACACTAACAGGCAGCCAGGGCAAAGATAAAAACCTGTCCTGGACAATACATTTCCTACAGGTCTGACCTTACCTTGAATCTGAGGGATGTATGGTGCCAACAGCTTTCCTCTTTTCTTCTCATAGCCCTTCTGAGTGATGTCCCCTGTACAGACAGAGAGAGAGAGAGAGAGAGAGAGAGAGAGGCAGAGAGATGACTCATTAGCTCAGCTGTGCCCAGCTAGAGTGTGTGTGTGTGTGTGCGCGCACATGCACAAGTGCCTCAGGACCACACTAGCAGGCTGATTCCACTGGCACCGCAGGTCACCAGAGCAGGGCTGGGGCAGCAGATGACCAGCACGCTCAAACACACACAAACAAGTGACACTGCAGTGTGTACATTTTACATTGAATCAGCTGAAAATGAAGAGTTTAAAATAACTTGTCTTTTGTGTTTCTCTGGTGTGTCTGGGACATTTTTTTAGCATTTTTACCAGAAGTAAAAGTACTGCTGATGTCAGCATGAACTGCATCTGCCTCAGTTGTCTCCCCATACATAATTAAAAGGTGGTACATTAAATAAGATCTGGCTGCATGTTATTTTCATAGCTCAGTTTGAAAGGAATATCTATATATAAATACTTTTCCAAGCCTGGAAATGAACTGCAATAACTGAAGTCTGAGAAAAATGAGGGCAGAGGTAGAGAGAGAGGATGAAGGCACAGTAAATGGTCTTATACTTGTAAAGTGCTTTTCTATGCATTGCAACACACTCAGAGAGCTTTCACACCATTTGCCCGTTCATCAATTTGCACTCCCAAACACACACAGTATAAGGCTAAGTAACATTATGGCACTTTGGATTTATCAGTGGCTTAACGCGGACAATACCTACTAGACTCAGAGAGAAGACTTAGCAAGAACAAGCATATGTTAACTGTAAACTAACGACGCTAAGTAAAGAGAAAACCCATGACCCCAACTCTGCCACTGTATCAGTTGCTTATATTGTTGGTGATCTAAGAGGACAAGATCGCATCGTTAGGCCCATATCATAACAATCTGACTACAAAAATAGCAGATCTGGTTTATATTATTATGCAGGCTGGGAACACAGTGTATGCAGGACACATTAATAAAATATGCAGCAAGTCATAGCAAAGTAATGTTTATGTACATTAGTGCCTTCTTGGTGTTCATACCCCCACACCCTGCATAACTCTGAGTCTACAGCTGTAGTGTATCTTTCCGAAATACACTACACTGCGGTTTATTTTCTGCTGTCACAAAATGAAATGCTTCACCAGCTACACAGAGTTTGCAATGTGTTTTTCCAAGACAAAAGAAATGAGCAGAATATCTGTGCCTTGACATACAGTGAATGCTTGTAACTGAATTCTTCTAAAAAAGCCAAAAATGTTAAAAACACATCTACATATGTCCACTGTCAAAAGACTAAAGCAGGTCACTGATTTTGGAGGGTTGTGGCTGCTCATGTGTGATTTGGGGGCTGTACAATGTCACTGTTTTTCTGCATATCAGACAGCGCTGTGGGCCAGGCTGAGGCCAACCGCTCTCTTGTTGACAAAAGGCATATTGATTCACCGAGAGAGGGCTGACCGACAGCACCTCTTACATGTAAACCATACGTTTGTACACAAATATGCTCCTAAATACGACCTCTCTAACAAACGCTATCCAGTTCTAACACTATGAAAGACAAGGGGCCTTGTGGAAAATATGCCAATCAAAACGCCAAGCTGTTAGGACTGTCAACAGTCACTTAATTTGAGACATGCATTATTTAGGCAGGAAGGCAATGCACGATCTGAGGCCTCAGATTTTTGACTTGATGTTGACGTGTATAGGATCACACTGCATCTTTTACATGAATCTATAAGGCTCTCAGTTGGGGGGGGGTACCATATTTTACTTGTTGCTTAATAAAGTATTGAACCTCCCTGCCTAATACTGTGTACACAGGAGCCAGTGCAGCAGCTGCAGCTCACTGTGCATCTTCTGTGAATCTGTTTGCTTCCATAGTTCTACTGTCAGGAAGAGCACGAATGTGTCGACCAGTCAGGGAAAAACCTATCTAACAGGAGTGAAAACTGTGGTGGTGAGGACAAGTTAGAGATGCTGTTTTATACAAATTCAGCAGCCTCCCCACTCCAGGTGTGATATCACCACTATAGCTGCTGAATGTTTCTCTTCATAGATCAATGTACAGTATTTCTCATTTTCAACCACTTTAACAAAGATTCAGACAAGATGGAATCTTTTGAAGAAGGATGAATGAAATTTAAAAGTTTAATCTACAGTAGATCAACCTCATCATCAGTGAGCCTTGGGCGTCCATGACCCTGTCATGGGTTCACTGTCTGTCCTTCCTTAGAAACTGTTGGTTGGTACTAACCACTGCAGACTGGTAACACCCAACAAGACCTGCAGACTGGGAGACGCTCTGACCCAGTCGTCAGCCATCACAGTTTGGCCCTTGTCAGAGTCACTCAGGTCCTTACACTGCCCATTTCTCCTGCTTACAACAATTCAACTTCAAGAACTGAATGTTCACTTGCTGCCTAATGTACCTCACACACTTGACAGGTGCCACGGTAACGAAATAATCAGTGTTATTCACTTCACCTGTCAATGGTCATAATGTTTATGGCTGATTGGTGTATATTATTGAGAAACATTTATACTGTGCACACATAATCTTGTATTTAATACCCTGTTTAATCTTCACCCACTTATAGAGAACATGTTATATGAACCTTCATACTGATACATTTAACATTTGTAGTTCTTAGTTATTGATTATTCAAGTTTTTGCAAAATATTCCTGTGATTATCTTTGCCAGTTCTCTGCTCTTCAAGTCCTTTGAACACAACAGCATGTTAGTTGAAGGCAGGTGTTGTTGGTCACACTGGTTGCTGTGCTTGCCTCCTGGTCCTGAGTCACCAGTAACAGCTGAATGCCTGCACTGTTAAATGTCCAGGAGAGCTGGAAGCCACCAACAATACAGCGCTGTCCACAGGCCGAGCTGGCTGACCTGACACTGACTCTTCTGGTGATAAGTGTCTCTGTTTGTGTGTGTGTGTGTGTGTGTGTGTGTGTGTACTGATCAGTATATGTCTATGTGCATGCCAGCGTGTATGAGTGTGCGCAACACAGCAGCCAACCAGCCTGACAACCACACAATAGAGGGCTATTCTCTGTGCCGGTTCCATATTCTGGCTAGAGGCCTCAGTGGCCAAGCAGCCCCTAGCACACACTGATCCATCAAGCTACAAGTCTCAAAGAAGCTAATCTTTTGATCGGAGCACAAACAGCTTACTCATTAAATATGGAGGAATGGGCTCAAGCATTCAATGCTAAACAGTGACCCCTCACTTTGAATCAAAACCAGAAAGTTGAGGGCAATATGTTCCCTATGTGAGTGTGTATAAATGTGTGTTTACTCATGTATATTTGTGTGTCTGTTAGCATTTCTACGTATTTTTGGACAGACACTCAACTTTCCCTGTGTGTTCGAGCTTCTAGTGCCTCCATAAGAGAAAAATGGGTGGATTCAAACGGTAAATATATGGCCTGCCTGACACGTCGGAAAAACTGACAGGGATGGATGTGGACAGTGGGATGCAAGGGAGGAGAGAGACAAAAGCATGGATGGAGGAAGCAGAGGAAAGCTTTGCACCTGTGGCAAATTACACCGTCACAAGGGAAAAGCTGTATCTTATATTTACAGCAGAATGGGAAAGACCTCATTTGACCCCCTTCACCTCTCTGCAATCACTACAGGCGATGCTATGTAATTGAGCTGTAAAGAAAAAGGGTACAGCTACAAACAAGCTCTTGGAAGGAGAGGAGGTAGGGTGCAGAGTCTATAAAAACTGAGAATGACTGTGTCAGAAAGGAAGAAGCACAAGAGGGAGGGGTGAGAGAGAAGGCATTTCTTATAGCATGATGGTTAGAAAACATCATCGAGGCAGAGGTGGAAGACTGGGTTTTCTTTCCTCAGTCAGCATCTGCCTTCATCGAAACCCAGCATCTTTGGCTCCAGTCATCCCTTCACCTTAACCTCTTCACCCTCATCTTAACCCCTGAGAGATGCCTGTCCACACATACTAAGCATTCCAGTCATCTTCTGACCCCCAAACATTCTCTCTTTTCAATTACTGACCTGAAATAGCTCACTGAGGAGAAAGAAAGAAATGAAACAGAAGAACAGCGCTGCCTATACAATTTGGGGTATTAACGCTAGTCTTGTGACACTGGCCTTCATCCTTCTGAAGAGACAAAATGTTACTGACTAGAGACCAGAGGCATTTTTCTGGCACTGTTGTTACCGCAAACTATCCTCTCACACAGTCCTGAATCCAATTTCAGAAAGGAGACAGTCGATCTAAACTATCATCCTTGCCATCACTCATACTGCACTCCCCCTTTTTATATTAAGTAATCAAAAAACTGACATCTGTTGAAAAAAAAGACTGCTTGGAGACATTTTGTTAATCAGCCTTGTGAGCACAGACATTGGCTGATGTCGATTATTGAAAAAATGCCAAACATCAGCCTGATTAATCAGTCTATCACCAGTCATGATAATGCTCTGCTCACTGCTATATACTACAAGTTTTGTCCAAATTATCCAGCAGTCAACAGCCCTAAAACATCCTTTACCTTGAAATTAAACCCTTTCATGTCTGGCCACACTGTCACCCTCTCTTCCTAAGTGGGGTGCAGCCAAAGAGGTGGTCCAACCACCCCTAATCTCAGTTCCTGTGCCAAGCTCACCCACAATGTGTCAACACCGCTGCCAAGCCACCAACCAAGCCACCAGCCAAGCCACCAGCCAAGTCGTCTGCCCTTCAGCACCAGAAAACCACAGCTTGGTTAGGCTTTTACCTTATCTTATATTTTTCCAGTCCATATTTGCAGTGGACAGTGAATTTGAGAACCAGAAGTTCCTTATTCCAGGTGAGCACAGTGGGTTTGGACTACTATCCATCTCATTCTCAAATGGAAATGGCTTTCCCTCACTTCTGTCTGACACATGCAGAAAATATACCTGTTATTGCAGGAATAAAAAGCAGCAATATAAATGAGTGGCAAAGAGAGGGACAGATGGAGAAAGAGCAGATCTACACCACAGATTTATC